AATTTCAATCATAACATAGTCGAGACTGCTAGTCCTCGTTTTTGACACATTTGTAATGCTAAAGATCCTAAATATTCGACTTGAAACGCACCACATCTTTGACATTTACAGTGTTGCTACGTAATCATTTTGCCTATGTTTATGGGTGAAGTGGAAAATAATTGCATATAATCTCTTAATCAGAATCATTCTAATAGTAGGTACTATACCTATTACTGTGTTCGATTTAAATGAATACTCAGCATTTATCAATTTTGAGTTTTTATCCAAATTCGCCCATTTTTATCTGCTAGTATTTTTGTAGAAAGTTTTGGCAGATAATATCGTAATAATTATAAAAACATTTTATGAATGAATTAATTAATCAAAGATAAAATATAAATTTTGTACAATACAAAGTTATGATAATATTTTTAACTAAATAAAAGGAAGTTTCCCTATTACGTATTTGAGTTCACATTTGGCAAATTAAATTTCTAGTGCTGGCAGTCCCAACACCTTGTTGAATGAAATGTCAAATTGAGATTTTGCTTGAATTGGCGATAATTTAAAAATACACATTGCTCGTTATCTCTTTGGATAAGAAAAACCCTAGACAAGTGGAGTATTATATAAGATTTGCTGGTTTATATTATTTATTGTGCTGTTGTGTTTACACGTGGACGTAAAGACATTTATTATAACCTACAGCTATCATATTTTTTTAATGTGTTGTTGATTTGTATCAAAGGTGCATAGTGTGTGATTGAGCGAAACTTTTGAATAGAGCCAACTTTTTTAGAGGTCAAATTAATCGACTAAAGAATTGTTTTTTTTTCGAAACGTTTCCGGTAAATTGATGTGAGTACCTTATCTCTATTTTTTTATTTTTGTTTTGTTTACGGAATAATTTTATTACGCCTATTTTTTTAGCTGTTGTTTAATAATCCAAACATTTATATGATAAGTCTAATTAAAAATTTAAAAAAATAATATACTTGGCTCATTAGATTGATAGATTATTTACATTTTAAATCAAACCAATTTATTAGAGGCTATCTATCATTATAAACATTGTTTAATAGTTAGGTACGCTCTGATGCGGCGTAAAATTTCCACGATGAAGCATAATTGAACAAACCTTTAGTCAGCTTTATTAACTAATAATGAAATTAGATTATTGTAGACATTATAAAAACAAATTTATTCCTATTTAAATCATAATAATAAACTAGCTGAACCGCCAAACTTCATACCACCTAAAAATTTGTTTATTACTTTATAAAGTTGCCATGGACTTTTGAACTTTTCAAGATTGAAATTAGTCAGATCGGTTCAGCCCTTCTTGAGTTTTAGCGAGACTAACGAATGGAAGTTCATTTTTATTCATATAGATAGATTATGTACTTAAATTAAATTTTTATTTAAATTCCTAAATAATATCATGCATTATGTTCTTTGAAGAGCCAGACAGACCTGCACTATATACAATTCAAAATTTACTTTACACAATTATTATGCGTCTAATCCCCAAGTTATACCACAGCCTGGCTCCGCAGGAGTAGGAACAGGTTAGTGTTCAGTCATTAAGAGTCAGACACTCTCTCTGGCCTTACTTAAAACAGGAGAAGGCATCAGATGATTTTGCTCCTGCAAAAAAAATGTAAGGACCAATTTTATTGACCACTTATAATTAACTAGCTTCTGCCAGCGGCTTTGCAACAGTACCAGAATAAAAAGTACCCCATTCATTATTTGTACTATAATCTACCTCTGTACCAAATTTCATCTCAATATGACCACTAGTTTTGGTATGAAAACATAAGAAGAAAGAAAAAAAACAATTATTAGGCCACAAACAACACAACAAGAATGCAGGTACACACAAAGCCCTTGCCACCCACTGGTAGGTTAGAAGTCGGCGCCATAAGTTCTATACAAAATTATTCATTAAAACTAAGGTTTAAAAAATTGTAAATTAGGTATCTATTAAGATAGATACTTAATTTACAATTTTGTGGCCAATAAGTTATATCATTATGATATGAGCTTATGGCACCCGCTTCTAACCTATCTGTTTTATCACTTATAATCTAAATAGGTGCAAAGTTCTAATCAATACAAATTACACAAGCCCAAACACAAGCTAGTTACTGTATACCATTGAGGAGTTCCCTTCACAATTACACTTCTTCATCATCAGACCCTTAATGACAGCCCCACTCTATCTAAGTGTAAATTCCTCATCAATACAAGTTAATGAAGCCCAAACACAAAGTAGTTACTGTATACCGTTGAGGAGTTCCCTTAACAATTACCTACACTTCTTCATCATTAGATCTTTAATGACAGTCTCACTCTATCTAGGTGTAAAGTCCTCATCAATACAAATTAATCAAGCCAAAATACAAGGTAGTTAATATAAACCGCTGAGGAGTTCTCTCGACTGTCTGTCGGCTCCATCATCAGGTCGACTCCAGACCCTTATCAATTTGTAGTGATAAAAATCCTAATTGAAAAATATAATAGACGGACCCCTCGGTTTCCGTAGGATCTTATCATCAGATCCTGACCTCATGGAAATGGGACCATCTCGGGAGTAGACCCATTCAACAAAACAAGAATTTTGGAAATCAGTTCACAAATGACAGAGTAATGCTCGAACAAACAAAATAAATAACAAAAAAAAGAAACAATCAGCCGAACATAGTACCTCGTCCTGTTTATGAAGTCGGTAACAAATTAATTATGTATTCAGCTTTATAATACAGGGTGTAAATGAAACGCTCCGGAAACGGCGGCAAAAAGATACCGTTTTAACAAATTTGTTTAAAAAAATAAGTTACGGCTTGCCAGGGCTCCGGCTCGACGTGCAGGAGAAGGAACGTGGTGTTTTTTAGTCAGTAAGAGTCTAACACCCCCTCCCGCCTCACCCAGGCGGGAGAAGGGAGAAGACATTCAATGGTTTTTCCCACTTATAAAAAAGACTATATTGTCTTGTTTACCATTGCACAAAATTGTTGCTGTCATCGGGAAAAACATCTTTGATAAAATTAAATCTTATGTATTCAGTAAGTATTTATAGTAATTAACTAATCTAATGATAATATGATAAGAGATATAAATAAACAGCGCACCTGTATTTTTAACATGAAGTCATTATCAAGATTAGAGCTACGTTGTTATGAGATTTTTTAAGGGGGGGGGGGAAGAAAAAAAGAAAACAACTTACTCCCGCGCTGTTTCATCCAATGCTAGACTCCTACTGATTTTATCGTGATGTTTTATTGATGTGCGTGCGGCACGTCGCGTCCTGCGTGCGCCGCACCATCAGAACACCACAGATGGGGCCCAATAGGGTTGATGGCGATATATCGGCCTCCGTATACCGGCCTCCGTATACCGGGTAACCCGTTAGGGTTACCGGGGCTCGAAGCCGGCTCGAAGTGCAGGAGTAGGAACGGAGTGGTTTTTAGTCAATATGAGTCTGACACTCCCTCCCGCCTCGCCCAAGCGGGAGAAGTCATTCGATGATTTTCCCCCCTTAAAAAAATACAATAAGAATTAATCAATTTGATTCAGTACTTTCAGAGATTAGGGCGTTCAAAAACAGATCTTAAGAAATTCACGACTCAACGACCGACTTTAGTCGTTATCAATGTCGAGACTACCAAGTACTAGCCCTGGTGTCATCGTCCGTCTGATAGGCATTAAGTGATATTTTATTGGTCAATATGCAACTGCAATTGCATGCATTTAACTCTACATTACATCATGATTTATTTTATGAAGTATTTGAGGTCTACGTAGTAATTGTTCTACAAAATCCTTCTTTTGTTGACGATCAACTCAAATATGTGTTACGAATTAGACTCACACTTTGATCGGTCATTCCTAACCGTGATTCGATCTCGTTGACTAGATTTTAGAGTTGCATTGTTCTTTCCGGGGTGTCAAAATTGAAAATCTAATTAGTCCATCAGTTAGATAATGAAAAAATATTAGACACGTTTTTTTTTCTTATATTAAGTTGTAATACTTAGATAAAATGGCGCTAAGTTTAGGAGTGGAAGGTGGTTACGTCATAACGTGCTACAAAATGTGGCACGCTGTGACGTCACACGATATTTCAAATTAATATATCGTGGAAAGTATTTAATTTTGTGAGAAAAGAAAAAATACGTGTGTAAAGTTTTAAATTAATGTACATTAAAATAAAATTTAGGATACTACCCTATTGAACCAACAAGACTATGTAACTAAAGAATTGTATTGTGAACCTGATTGAAAAAGAGTAACCTATGGAGTTTCTTGCTCGTTCTTCTCCATAGGAATCTACACCTTGGAATGAGAAATAAGCTTCACTTTTCATTTTTTTGTAAAGTGCCTTCTTTGGGGTCTTCTTCAATCAAATTCCTATCGATGGACATTGGTATTGTGTTGTACTCTTGAGTTGTAACACTAGCGCCCATTGCATCCATATTGCGTGGATATTGAATGAACTAAATGGGTGTCTTAAACTTCCGGACCACGACATACAGTTTTTTTTTGCATAAGCCGGTAAACGAGCATACGGATCACCTGATGGTAAGCAATCGGCGCCGCTCACGGACACCCGAAACACCAAGGCGTTACAAATCCGTTACCGACCTTTTGGGAATTGGTAATTTGAGGATTGTGTAGTATTCGGGGATTCGGGAGAGTAGGGAGAGGGGTTAATTGGGCATCCGGTAACCTCACTCACACGACGAAACACAACGCAAGCGTTGTTTCACGTCGGTTTTCTGTGAGGCTGTGGTATCACTCCGGTCGAGCCGGCCCATTCGTGCCGAAGCATGACTCTCCCACACTTAGATATATAGATAGATAGATAGATACATTATTTGACCTAGGCACCCAGTTATGTTGCTTTGTCTTTAACACGTTAAACGCCATGGGGGTCACCGGTGACCGGCGGAGGATTTACCTTCAACAGTTTTTTATTGGCAGTCTTAAAATAAAATTTGTTCTTTATTTTTTAGCGAAATGCCGGCTGCATACGACACGATAATCATCGGCATGGGAGCGGCTGGATGCACCGCTGCCTCTACTCTAAGCAAGGCTGGGAAGAAGGTCCTAGCTCTGGAAGCTATGGACAGGATCGGAGGCAGGGTCAACACGGTGCCTTTTGGAGACGGCGTCGTTGAAGTAGGAGCTGAGTGGTAAGTCCACACGAACGAAGCGCTTCGCATCAAGCTTCTTGTGCGTACTGCTAAGGAGTGGAATTCTTTGCCAGAGTCTGTATTTCCTTAACCCGTCGAGCGTTCGCATTCCTTATGCATTTCCTTATCCTTATGCATGCAAGAAAATGCATTTATTTGGCCATTGGCACACGAAAACAAGGATCATTACAATAGAAATAAAACAAATACAGTCAAAATACATGGAGCATTTTTTCTTATGATCCACCGGGTGCTCATAAGGACGCTCGAGGGGTTAAGGGTATTTTTTTTTAATGGGGAAAATATAATATAATTATTATTTTATCGAATGACTGCTCCCGCCTGGGTGAGGCGCGAGGGAGCGTCAGACTCATACTGACTAAAAACCACCCCGTTTCTTCCCCTGCACGTCGAGCCGGAGCCCCGGTAACCCGTTAGGTTCTCCGCGACTCCTTAGGGGTATAACCTGTTTATCTTCAAGGCCCGAGTGAATAGGTTGCTTATGGGACGACGTGCTCCATCGTAGACCGCATCATCGCTTACCACCAGGCGAGATAGTGGTCAAACGTCGACCCATCAAATTTATATAAAAAAGTCCTATCATCTTTATTTTAAGGAGAACCTAACGGGTAACCGGGGCTCCGGCTCGACGTGCAGGAGAAGGAACGGGGTGGATTTTAGTCAGTAAGAGTCCGACACTCCCTCCCGCCTCACCAAGGCGGTAGCAGTCATTCGATGATTTTCCCCCCTTAAAAAAACACTAGCTAATTTTAAACACGAAAGTATGCTTCGATTGAGCACTTGTCACTTAAGTAGCGTGTGTATCGGAATGTTATTCACAATTAGTATCACATCAACAGCCTATAAATGCCCACTGCTGATGCTGAGCAAAGCCTCTTCTCACACGGAGAAGGTTTGAGCATTAATCACCACGCTTGCTCAATGCGGGTTGGCGATTACAAACTTATAATTAGAAATTATAAGCCCAGGTTTCCTCACTATGTTTTCCTTCACCGCTTGTCAGTGGTGTCTGAATAATCTCAGAAAGTACATATAACTCGGAAAAAGTCACATTGGTACTTGCTTTGGTAGGTTTTGAACCCGCACCCTCATGCATGAGAAGCGGGCGTCTTAAACCTCCGGGCCACCACGACAAAATTAGTATGCTCATTTCGATTGTTTGCGAAGCGACAGGTGTTCGATTTTTGAACACTTTTAGGAAGGCTTAAACTGTCAAACACCAAGCGGTCACCGGTGACCGCGACCTATTGTTCTTTAATTGTGTCTATAAAACCAGTACTCGACGAGTTAATAGACACATTTAATGTAACACCGACCTAAGGCCAGTTGTGTTATGAAAAAAAAATATTTAAAAAATCGGTATTTTCGATGTCATTCGTGTTCCCACTCTACTAATGAGTTCGTTAATTGAATTACCTAATTTAACTTGATAATAATAATTACATTAACAACAATTTCGGAAGCCATATCGACATGTCCTTGAATAGAACAGTGGACAGTGACGGATTAGCTACTAAGGGCCAATTATCCAACGCTAGATTTTAACTGAGGAATAATTTTGAATATTTGACAATAATTCTTCCATACTAAAACCTGCCAAATGTAAATTTTTACCGACTTCAAAAAAGGAGGATCACACTTTCGTTAATTGATTTTATGACCAATTTAGTTTTAGTATATTTCCAGCAATTTTTTAAGAAATAACTATTCTGTTTGACGCTCAAAAACGTGACGTCACAATACACAATCTCGTACATAATTCATAGAATACTCTCGTTTTTGACAGTTCGAAGAAAGTATTGAATTTGACTAGTTGGCAAGTACCTTGGAATGAGGATTAATTAATAAAGAGTATTGATCTAATTTTACAATTGGGTATTGGCAAAGAGCAGACGGATCGCCTGATGGTAAGCGATCAGGACCACCCAAGGACACCTGCAACATCAGAGGAGTTACAAACCGTTGCTGGTTTTTTGGGGGGATTGTGGTTTGAGTCACAAGTTGCTAGCCTTTTATGCATTACCATTACGTAAGCACGGTCCTGCGGGCGAACACGGATGACTCGCCGCCCGACCAGAACCAGACCCGGCCGTACGCTTGTACGGTGTGTCACGTTCCACGCGCGCTTCGAGGAGCCATCAGACCACCACAGACGGGACGCAATAGGGCTGATGCCGATACGAAGCTGCGGAGGACTTAACGGGTTGCCGGGGCTCCGGTTCGTTGTGCAGTAGGAACGGAGTGGTGTTTAGTCAGTAAGAGTCTGACACTCCCTCTCCCTCTCGGGCGAGAGAAGTCATTGGATGATTTATCCCTGTCAAAAAAGCCTTTTATACGTTAGGGGATTGGTCGAGGATTTGGGGAAGGTCGGGCCTCCATTAACCTCACTCACACGGCTGTACCGAACGATTCAGTTGCTTCACGCAGGCTTTCCGTGAGGCTGTTGTATCACTCCTATCGAGCCAAAGTTTGTGATACAGTTTTTTTTTTCAGGATTCATGGCACAGAACAGTCGAGAGTGTACAACTTAGCGATACAAAATAATGTGTCGGTGCTACCCCAGGACATTGACTTTGAAGTGTACCGGTCAGACGGGAGCATTGGAGATAAGAAGGTTCTGAACGAGCTGATGACTTTCAGCCTTAGCGTTATCGACGATCCTCCTGAAACACCTGAACCTTTAGGACAATTTATTACAAGACGGTAAGTCATCATAACCCGTCGAGCGTCCGCGTTTCTTATGATCTAACGGGTGCACACGTGACATTTGGAGAAAGAAAGAAAGAAAATGCATTTATTTGGCCATTGGCACCCGAAAACAAGAATCATTACAATAGAAATAAAAAATACAGTCAAAATAAAAACAAAACATTAATAATAGATTTTATAAAAGAGAAAGCAGCATGGAGCATTTTTTCTTATGATCCACCGGGTGCTCATAAGGACGCTCGAGGGATTAAAGTCGAAATTACATTGTACGGTCAACCTATTTGATTCTGTCAAATGTTTCTATTAATCTTCAACATTATTGTATCGATACAAAGTCGAAAACTGACTGCCTCGTTGGCCGAGTGGTCGCAAGTGCACCTCTGCCTACCACTTCGGTCGGGGATAAAAGGCGTGATATTATGTTATAAAGTCGAAAATAAATGAATAAATTTGACAGATTGAAGTAGGTTGATCTGATGCGTATTATGTATTGTTTTAAAATTTTAATATTGGTAGCAAAAATCTTAAGTTGCAATTTTATAGTTATGTAAGTGAATGATATGGTAAGTATCGGATTCTCGATACTCTAACGCCCGTTTGTCTCTTAAATCTTAAAGAACCCCTTAACTAAGATAGGTGACACTTAACGGCATTTTGATTTTAACCAACCTATATATTTAGGTGCTCTCTCATGTTCAGTAACTCTTAATTAAGAGATGGCTTAGGGAAGGTTCGTGAAAAAGCGATAAGACGTTAGTATGGCCTTTGTGAATACTAGAAAGGTGTTTTAATAATAACTATCGTGAGACATACTAAATTAATTAAAATCGCGGGTTACTCTCGTGAATATACTAACATCAGCCAGTGAGCTGCGTAACGTCGCCGCGACCTCGCACGCTGCTCATGACGAAGAACCCCTCTGTGGTTCGAAACTAGTAGAGCTTTTCTCAGTATTCACGTGAGTAACCCGCGATTTTAGTTAACGTTAAAGGTATCGAAAATTTGATCCGTCATATGCCGTAAATGAAATTTTATGCACATTTTCATAATTATTATTTTATTTGTAGCCTAAAAGACTACATGAAAGAGAAATACCCAGCGCTATTGGCCGACCAGGACTTCATAGACAATCTACTCGAGTTTCTAGATTTAGTCATAGACAATTACGAATCATCAAACAGTTGGAACGAAGTGTCCACAGAGTCAAAATACACAGAACTTGGCGGGTACCAACACATGAGCTGGCATAGACATGGGTATAAAACCTTGTTTGAAATTTTATTGGTAAGTTGTTCTTTGTTTTGTAATTTGCTACTTCATCGCGGTTTTACTGATTTACTGACTGCCTCATTGGCCGAGTGGTCGCAAGTGCGACTGCCGGGCAAGGGGTCTTGGGTGCGATTCCCGGGTCGGGCAAAGTATTGCTGGGTTTGTAAAAACCTCAGTAGTAGCACGGAGTCTGGAAATGTGCCCGGTATATGGCAATAGGCTCACCCCCTATTACATGGGACTCATAACATAAATAGTGAAAAGTGGGTGTTACATTGTACAGTGGCATTAAGTGCCGTAATGTGCACCTCTGCCTACCCCTTCGGGGATAAAAGGCGTGATGTTATGTTATCGCGGTTTTACCCGCACTGCTCGGTGCCTATTGATCATTGCGTGATGTTTTATAGCCTGTAGCCATCCTCAATAAATGCGCTATCCAACACAAAAATAATTATTCAAATCGGACGAGTACTTCTGACTGCACGGTTGGTGCGGTGGCTGGGCAACCGGCTGCCGTGCAACGTGTCGCGGGTTCGATTCCCGCACGGAACAACACTTTGTGTGATCTACAAATTGTTGTTTCGGGTCTGGGTGTCATGTGTATGTGAACTTGTATGTTTGTAAACGCACCCACGACACAGGAGACAATCCTAATGTGGGTCAACGTTATTAAAAAAAGAACGAAAAAAGTTCCTGAGATTAGCGCGATCAAACAAACAAACTCTTCAGCTTTATATGTATTATAGACATACAGGGTGTATATCTGATACTATAATACATATAAGTATATAATATAAGTCTCTGAAGTCGACGATCAAATGGCAGGTGATCGGCAAGGTCAATCAATCATCAGAAAAATATAGAAATAATTCAAAGTCATTAAGTTTTAAAATTACAATGACTTATGTGTTATCCACCTACAATTACAACATCGCTATTTATTTTGGTTATAAGTGCGACTGCTAAGCAAAAGTTCAAAGGCCATCGTAAGCGCGGGCCTGCGGACGGCGAGCATGGGTGGCTCCCCGTCCGACCAGAAACAGACCCGAGCGTACGGCGCCGAGCGGTCCGCGCGACACTAAGAGCCATCAGACCACCACGGATGGGGCCCAATAGGGCTGATGCTGATTCGAAGCCGCGGAGGACTTAACGGGTTGCCGGAGCTCCGTTTCGATGTGCAGGAGTAGGAACGGGGTGGTTTTTAGTCAGTAAGAGTCTGACACTCCCTCCCGCCTCACCCAGACGGGAGCAGACATTCGATGATTTTCTCCCCTTAAAAAAAAAAGCAAAAGTTCGATTCCATTGTCAGTCACAGTGTAATTGGGTTTTTTGCTTTCACAATATATCTACCTCTATAATCTTTGTCATCTAAATAGTTTGTATACCGAAAGTCCAAACAGACTTTATTTTAAACGTTACCCTACACTTGGATTTTCTCCTGTGTCGTGGGTGCGTTTACAAACATACAATATCACATACACATGACACGCAGACCCGAAACAACAATCTGTGGATCACACAAAGTGTTGTTCCGTGCGGGAATCGAACCCGCGACACGTTGCGCGGCAGCCAGTTGCCATCATCATAACCACCTTTTCGCCCTCAGAATACCTACAAAAACGGCCCGGGCTACCCGAACTTAGACATCAAGTTGAAAAAGGAAGTCACCCAGATAGCCTGGCCTCAGGATCCCACACAAGACGTGGTGGTTACCTGCAAGGATGGAAGCAGTTACAAAGCCAAAAATGTGATCGTCACCGTCTCCTTGGGAGTTCTGAAGGAAAGGTAAGATTATCCATTCAAATACATACGGTAAAATGGGGTGAATAGGGATCGAAAGGGAAATAGCGACAGAGGGCTTAGTACGTGTTTCTTTTTCGTTTAAAGTCAAACAATATCTTCAGAGCAAACTGACACAATCAAGTCTCAATTAACACCCTCCTCAGAAACTTTATATATATAATTATATAAAATATATAAACCCATTATATATTTATTTTTATATTATATTTTATTTTATATTACATATATATATATTTAAATATTTACATATTATATTTATGTTTCATATGGTATGTAGTATTGGTATGTAGTTTATGTACTAGGATACCTTTATACATATGTACGTACATTTATCACCCTCGTTTTTATTTTTTTAAAACCTACTGTAACACTTCTCTGCATCACCCTATGGTTGGCTGGTAGAGAATGCCATTCGGCATTAAGTCCGCCATTGTATACAGTTGTACATAAAGTGTTAAATAAATAAATAAAGTAATCGTAACGAGACGGCGTTCGGCGCTTTGATTGGTTGGTTCATTGACACCAGCCAATCACAGCGCCGAACGCGTAAATCGATACTATGAAAAATTTTCCAATATCTCTCAATTGATCCCTATCCACCCCATTTTACGGTACAGGGTGTTCCAGAACTCAACGTCAATCCGAAACGGGGTGACAGGATTAATTATAATTATAATCGTCACGAGGAAATCTGAAAAAAAAACTATCCCGTGCAGTTTGTAAATTATGGGCATTAAAGAAAAATCTAAAAAATTGATCTTTTTGGATCCTACAACTTTTACGCCATAGTAATTATTGCTCTAAATCAGTGTTTTTCAACTATTTTCATCATGATGCGACTCCTCTGGTATAAAGAATATTTCGCGACCGACCGACGAGTTAAAGTACCCAGTTTTTTCGATTTCCGACGACCCCTAGCTTCGCGACCAAGAGGGCCGCGGCCCACAGGTTGAAAAACACTGCTTTAAATGCCTAGTTCGTAATGATACGTACAAAATTTTTTTTTCGGTGTCTGACCGGCAATTTACAGACGAGGCCTATGGCGAGGTATGGAGCCGAAATGATCGCCTTTCTAGGTTTTTCTATAACTAATGCCCGAATACTGAAACGTTACTCAATTTTAAGTCACGCTTAAGTATAGTTCTGTCACCACTAATTCTTCGTGAAATGACAGAGATGGCACGATATTTGAGCAAGACTTAAAATTGAGTAATGTTTCAGTATACCGGGGGGTTATTACATGTGTGTAACTCTCTAGACTTCTTTTGAAATTGAAATTGGTTTCAAGAGTAAGCGCCCAGGCGAGGTTATATACCTTGCGGGATATTGTCCAAGTTGTATGTTGGAATTTTCTGTCCATGTCTAAGTACGTGCCAACTCGTCATCACATTATTGAGAAATACCTTAGTAGCCTGAAGGTTATAATAAACAGTGCCTTTAGCCAAACGCCACTTTACCGCTTGTCTACAGATAGAGTAGAAAACTAAATACACGGTTGGTGCGGTGGCTGGGCAACCGGCTGCCGTGCAACGTGTCGCGGGTTCGATTCCCGCACGGAACAACACTTTGTGTGATCCAGAAATTGTTGTTTCGGGTCTGGGTGTCATGAGTATGTGAACTTGGATGTTTGTAAACGCACCCACGATACAGAAAATAATTCTAGTGTAGGGCAACGTTAAAAAAAATGTATGGAGATGACACTGACTAGTGTCAAAATTTACGTCAATTCCATATAACTTGGTTTTCTATTCTACAAGTAGACAAGCGCTAAATGGCATTTGGCTACAGTTGCAAGCTACTTAAATATCATCGGTCTCCCCAATGGCTGGCGCTTAAAGCTGTTCCTGGGTTCGATTCCCGAGTCGCAAAGAGTGCGTTATAAATCTGTCTAAAATTGTCTTTGAATATTGTATTTTTTATTAGGCATTTTACAGGTACGTCAAGATGTATAAAAAAAAAACAATTTTTAAATATAATTTTTTCCAGACACACAACACTATTTCGTCAATGTTGCCACAAACAAAAATTTTAGTCATAGACAACAGATTTTTATATCGGTGGGTCTGATGGGTAAAATAATTTTGCAATTTGACAACACTTTTGGGGTACGAATTAGAATGTAGATTATTTATTTATTTATAGAGGATTGTGGATTGTGGATGTAGTTGAGATCGGGGGAGATGTCAGTCCCCATTGGGGTGAATGAAGTGCTCACAATGTGGACTAATGGGGATGTCAGGACGTTGGTCAGTATAGCACATGTCGCGGCTATTCTATAACAATGTTTATTTATAAATTATTATGTTTTCGGCTTACTCACGTAACCGTTTGACGAGGAACTCGACTATTTTCAAACCATGCTTTGCCATCATATTCATTTTTTTTTATTGCATAAGGCGGTAGACGAGCAGACGGATCACCTGATAGTAAGCAATCGGCGTCGGCCGAGTGGTCGCAAGTGCGACGGTAGGACAAAGTATTACGGGGCTTTTTTTAAAAAAAATCTGAGTAGTAGCACGGAGTCTGGAATTGTGCCCGGTGTATGGCAATAGGCTCATCCCCTATTACATGGGACTCATAAAATAAATAGTGAAAAGTGGGTATTACATTGTACGGTGGCATAATGTGCACCTCTGCCTACTCCTTCGGGGATAAAAGGCGTGATGTTATGTTGTTATCATTCTCCATTATTCTCTCACCATATTCCAGTTATAAATCTCGCGAGCTTATATATATTTTTGAACTGGGAAGCGTTACAGCTAAGCATTTAGTCAAAGTCAAAATCATTTATTTCAATTAGACCAGGAAGACACTTTTGAACGTCAAAACAAAATATTTAAATATTAAAAAATAAGAAAAAATGTTAGTCTGTAGGTCAGTCCTCTAGTGAAGCTATTTGATCGTTCCAATTTATTGTCATACAAATTAAACATGTATACAAACAGCTAAAAACAGCTAAAAGCTTTAAAATGCCCTATGGTACACGTGGGAGAGTCATGCTTCGGCACGAATGAGCCGGCTAGATTTGACCGATACCACGGCCTCATAGGCAGCCTGTGTGAAACCTAGTTTGCGTTGTGTCTTGCCCTCGTTACTAGAGATCCAATTGTTCGCTCCATCCCAAATCCACAGTTTTTTTTTTATGGCATAAGCCGGTAAACGAGCAGACGGATCTCCTGATGGTAAGCAATCGGCGTCGCCCATGGATAGCTGGAACACCAGAGGCGTTACAAGTGCGTCACCGGCTTTTTGGGGATTAGGAGTTTGAGGATCGTTGGGGATTCAGGGATTGGGGAGATTGGGGAGATTGGGGAAGGGGAAGGTAATTGGGCCTCCGGTAACCTCACTCACACGACGAAACACATCGTATCTTTTCGCCATCGACCCTCACGACAGCATATGCATTCCCATCATATAGATGGTTGGCAGGCCACAACTGTGCGCTTCTCACGTTTCTGCCTCGCACAGCAAAACTGTGGAATGATCTGTCGTCGGCGGTATTTCCGAACCGATACGACCTTCAAGAAAAGAGCGTACTCCGTTTTAAAAGGCCGGCAACGCACCTGTGGCTCATCTGGTGTTGTGGGTGTCCATGGGCGGCGCTGATCGCTTACCATCAGGTGATCTGTCTGCTCGTTTGCCTCCTATTCCATAAAAAAAATGCAGAAATAAATATCATTTCATTACACATCAGGCAATTTAGTTCATTTAAAATAGAGGGATCAGCAAAATGGAAAAAAAAACACTATCGGCGCCCCGTTTCTTTGCTCTTACGTATGCTTAACCCGTCGAGCGTCCGCATTCTTTATGATACAACGGGTGCACACGTGACATTTGGAGAAAGTAAGAAAGAAAGAAATGCATTTATTTGGCCATTGGCACACGAAAACAAGGATCATTACAATAGAAATAAAAAATACAGTCAAAACAAAACATTAATAATAGATTTTATAAAAGAGAAAGCCGGATGGAGCATTTTTTCTTATGATCCACCGGGTGCTCATAAGGACGCTCGAGGGGTTAACAAAGCCTACTATTACTTACATTACTTTTTTTTTCAATTCCTTCTTTATAGACACACCAGCCTATTTGTTCCCTCGCCACCAACAGAAAAAGTTCACATCATACACAATGTATCTATCGGCGTTATATGTAAAGTAATACTTCAATTTGAGTCCAATTGGTTTTCAAACATGAACTTTGTATACCTTTGGCGAGATGTCGATAAAAAAGATGTTAGCGCAGAGGATGACTGGCTATTGAATGTAGGGGAGGTATCATCCCCTATGGGATGTTCTAACACTGTAACTCTATGGTTCAGCGGAGAAGTCGCGAAAAGGGTATGTGTTGCATGTTTTTTAAATTTTAACGGGTTTCTTGCGTAGTCGAGGGTGTAACCCAGTCCCCGAATCCACAACAATACTCAAATTCTTATCCCCAAATGGCTGGCAACGCAAGTAATGCCTCCGATGTACCTGGTGTCCATTGGCGACTCCGAATGGTTACCATCAGCAGCTGTAGCCAAATGCCATTAAGCGCTTGTCTACATGTAGAATAGAAAACCAAATTATATGGAATTGACGTAAATTTTGACAGCTGTCACTGTCATCCCTATACATTTTCTACTCTCTCTATAGACAAGCGCTAAAGTGGCGTTTGGCTAAAGACACAGGTGTCTGCTAGTTTACCGTATCCCATAAAAAAAGCTTACCACTAGGCGAGATAGTGGGCAAACGTCGCCCCATCAAATATTAAAAAAACCCATTGGACGTTCAATATTTGACATCGGCTGTTATTAGACAAAAGATCCCCTTTCTACATTTGCGAAATCTGGTGTTAAAAAAATAACGGTAGCCCCCGTTTTGTAATATCAAAATTAATGTTAATTTTCCTATCCCCCAATGGGTAGTGCCTTGTTAGGCGTCTTAAGTTCTATGGTAATACAAGGTGTAGTTTTGAAACCGTGATTTCTCGGGGGCATG